CTCTCTATATTCCAATCAGGCAACCCCAAGTTTTATTTCAGTTTGCATTTACCAAAGATATTAAATGATTCAATCCATTATTTGAATGTATTCCCCTATCAGCAAGGATTTCATTAGCTATCTCTGCTGGAACAAAAAGGACTGCAAATTAATGTACAGCTGTGAATAAAGATTTGTTTATTTAATAACTGGACAACCTAACTTCTAGAGTTACTCATTCAAGAGCAATTCAAAAAACTTGAACCACAGGGACTTTTTCCCCTCCAAAGTCAGAAGAATAAAATAATGAGACCTTGGAAACAAAAAAAACCCCTCTGTTTCTTTTTCTTCCTCCCCATTTTCCTATGAATTAAACTGTGATCTAAGGCAATACTAGAACAGATGCACTGAAGCCCTTTATGACCTTACCTTTATATCCAGAACATTCCAAAATCTTTTCAAGAATCAATATATAACTGCTACATATTAGCACAAAAAAGCATCACAAATCTTGCATCTATGCAATTCTATCGGAAATAATTTAAACAGATTTATTTACTGTTGTGACAACCTTCCTTCAGTTCTTCTGCCGCTTTCATCCTCTGCAACAAACAACTCCAAGGACCTCCCCAGATGCAGATTACACATCTACAAACCCCACACTTGGTTTCCTATTCTCTTAGCAAGGTTTTCCTGAGGTTGAAGACAGATGCCACACAAAGCAGCATCGATTCCAGCTGAACTAGAAGGTGCTTTCTGCAGCAAAACTGAGCATGATACTCCTTTGTTCCTCCCAACACAAGCTTCCCTTACGCGACCTTATTCCTTCAAAGAAATAATCCATTGTCTCACACATCAGAGAATTCTCAGCTGTCTGATTTCCCTTCATTGAAGCTTTCCTCTCATTCCAGAGCCATATGATTGCAACAATGAGCCTACTTAATGCAGATATGAAAATTTCTTTTGTAATGCAATGCAAAACCTTTGTAGTGAGCCGTCATCTGCAGACAAGACAATTACTGAATATCTGAACATGCTGCACACAGCCTTAGAGTCAGAAATCCTCTTCATCTGACCTCTTAAAATTGATGACATGCACTTGTCATTTGATAAAGGTGTCACTTTTGACCACGTCAAACAGTTCTTTAATGTAACAAATAGTAAGTCTTTCAAAATTTTCCAAAATGAGGGCCAGAAAAAAACCTTGGTTCACTTTTAATGCATTTCTGAAACAGTGTGGGGCAGGAATCTGCTGTGTTTAATTCTTTAAAATTCCAGGATAAAATGCAGTCCTGTGCTGTCCTACTCTTCCGGATTTGCAGGTTGGCTACAAGCTGCCCAACTAGCCAGCAGGAAAATAGGGTTTGCTAATGCAATCATTCAAACCAGAATGAAGCTAAAACACTTTGACATTTATTTAGATAAACACAGTTCAACCATTTGAGAAGTTAGCACGTTCATTTGATCAGTCCTATAACCCAGGGGAAGGATAAAATCCTAAAACTGCAGAGCATTTTTAGCAATTTCACTGATAAGGCAGCCATTGCTTCCAAGTCCTTTGAGACAAACCTGCACTGTTTTTTTAGCAGAAAGATGCCACTTGCAGCAAAGCCTTTACTCTTAACTTCAGAGATTTTTACTCTGCATTCTGAACTCATCAGGACAAAAAGCCCATCCCTGTGAGCCCAGTGGTGCCTTGACTCCAGCAGATCCACTAGAGGGAGATCCTAAATTAAACAACCTCCAATTTTGCCAGCAGCCAGCAGAACAGCTGAGGATGCCAACTAAAAGATCAATGACATTTTTCAAATATATGCAAGAGAAGGAGACCATGATTTAATTTTATTTTAAAAAGAGCGAGAGAGCCATACCCAACAGCTGACTTGCAAACTACAAGGATGTACACAACTTAATCTTTAATATCCCTCAGAAGTCGTTTAGATTTCTGTGAACCCTTGCATAAAATTTAAAATTCATCTACAGCTTTATGAATTTCTGAATAGTATGCTCAGCTAACATTAAAACTGCTTTCCTTTTATGAATAAAATACAACACAAAATAAGCAAGCTAATAAAAGAAATTGCCAAAATGAGAAAGCACAGCAGAAAATAAGGATACTGCAAGAATCTAACCTTAACTAGATGTAATTCTAGAATAAAAGGGAAGCTATCTATGTAGGATTTCTTTATTTTTATTGGAGTTGGAGGTTCTGTATACCATTTTGGATACACTAGGAAACACAGCAAGCTGTCAACTTCAAGTACAGATTTTTGATGCAGTATCATCAAAATACCAACGAGGATAGCATGGGTTAGAAATTTTTAAAACTCAAACAGATCTATTGAAAAAACAAAACTAACCATATATAATGTATTGATCATCATATATCAGTGTAAGTTTATTTTATGACACATACCCTCTCAACACCTTTTCAGAAAGAGTAATTTGTTTATAAAAGACAGGCAGTTGCAATCCATGTCCTAAAATGAAGAGCTAATATTAGAGCCTCAAAGCCAGTGACCTGTCTAAGTAAATATTCATCTATTTCAGAGATGCTGGGGGGAGTTGGGGGGTGGGGGGAACCTAAGGCCAAAGACTTATTTCTAGGTGCACTTCTAAGAAATTATACCAACTACAGAGAAACAAAATTCACTGAACTTTGAGCAAGGAGCACAATTAGTTTGTTTCTACATTTCAAGCCACTTAGCAGCTTATTTCCATTATTGAAGTAGCATGTTCAGAAAGATATTTCATCTTTTTTACTTCTTACACTGATAGAGGTCAGAAAAATTAATATCTAGATCAGACAGTGACAAACTTCCCAGTTGATAAAACTTAGGAAGACTTGTTGACAGTACTCTAACACAGAAACATTATGAACATTTATCTTTAAACACTGTCTAGAAGTGATATGAGGCTGAGAGAACAATTCTGTGTGCCTTATTAGGAATTTTTTTTTAAAAGCAACAGCACAAAACTGCTCATCTGCTGAAACAATGCTGACAGTGTTAAGGTTTGGTTTTATTTCATCCTGATGGAAGCTAGAGCACCTATCTGTCTGTGACACAGGTGACAGCAAAACTTAAACCACCACAGCCCTTGGCTGACCGGAGCCCAGGAAGAACAATTATCTCCCTTGCTCGCCATTAGCTTGTGATGCAGCTAATTAATGCATTTTGACTTGCGCCTGCTGCCACCAAATTAAAGTCACAAGAAGGAGAAACAAAGTGACATTGCTGTTATTCAGAAAAACTTAAAGGTTAACCCAGTCACTTTCAAACATGGTTACAAACCTTAATTTGTGTCCATCTCAGAATTGCTGAGAACAAACCAGAGGACAACAGCACTATAGTCAGTAACCAGGCTGTGGTAAGTCATACACAGTTATGAAATTTTAGTCATAAAATTTTAGTTTTATCCAAGTCTTTACCAACTGAAGTGGCATCTCTGCTTATTAATAAAGTTTCTACCACTGGACAGTGCAGCAGCCCACAAACACTTTGCATAAAGTAGCAAGAGAACAAGTCATTATACAAATTGCAAGCCACAAAATTAAAAAGAACACACTGTCTAACAAAAAAATAAGCAATGCCGTGCCTGCCTATGTCATTTCAGCCTCTCTAGCAGCTCAGGTTTAGTGTTATGAGGAGTTAAACTGAACTATGAAGATATGTATATGCATAAATACACACTGAAACACATAACAAATTGTTCAAGTACAGGTAATGGAAAAGAGCTCGAACACTTCAAATCTGTGGTAAGAACCATCACTTAGGCCTTTTCATCAAGAGTACAAATGAACACTTCACGTGTTCCCAAATGTTGGCTGGGAGACAGGTGATGAACAGTCAGAATGCATGGAAAGTTTACACCTGAGTAACTCTTAAGGAAAGCAGAACTGAGGGACTGAGAAGAGAAAACACCTAGCTGAGAGGTACGAGACTGGGAATTACAACTGGGTTATTTTAGCAGGCAAAAAGAAACTTCCTAACTCTAGCTACCATTTCTATTTTGGCCTCCTATGTTGTGTAACAATGTAAGCACTGCAGAATGTATCATCCACAGCCTAGACAAATTAGTTTCAAAAGGTAAGTCTGGAAAGGTCTACCAGGAAAAAAAACAACTCAATTTAACCACCTTTTTTGCTGGTTGAGACAGCCCTAGTATAGCTATCTACAATCTCTCTTCTATACAAGAGAAAGAAAACTGACACACAAGTACCATCTCTTGTTACACAGGCAATCTTTAAAGTTTAATGAGGACAAAAGAATTCTATTTGGTTACAAGAACACAAAAGACTCTTAGTCTTTTAAAAGAAACTCCCTCTGTGTGTGTCACAGTGTTATACTGATCAATTTGCTGTAGAGCCTACCTAGAATATGTTACAGACATCAGCAGAAGACTGAAAGCCAGGAATTTTTCCAACACTGTTTTAAAGCCTATGTCAACCTGATCTTCAAACAAATGAAATTACAGGCGTCTAAATCATATGTGCTCATCTGAATGTTAACCCTGGATACAAGGTCTCTGAGCTAGAAAAATCTGTATGGTAAAAACTGCCAGAGATGATTACCTGAATTCCAGAGTTTGGAGGGGGAAAACCCTTCACCATTTGATAATAAACTAGTAAACCAGTGAGAAGCAAAAATACCAACACACAATAGGAACCTGGATGCCTCTAGAATTCCTGAAAAGTATCTTCCTTACAAGGTACATGGTTCTTGGGTAGGTCTTTTTGTTTTGCTTCCTTAAAAAAAGGCAAAGACAGCAGTTTCTGTATGTAATATAAAAACATGAAAATCTATTTACTTGCTAGGAAGTGCAATTACAGAGATGTCAGTTGAGTTGAGAAGTACTGTTAAGAAGCAGTAATTAGTCAGACAAAACATCTAGATAATTAAAGCACCTAGAGGCTTATTTATGATTAGAAACAAGACTTGCAGACTTTCATGCATAAACATTTGAATTTTTCTGTATTTGAACAATCTTAGGGGGGAAAAAAATAGTGAAGAGACTCTTACCAGCTTCCTGTGAATTTAATACTTCTAAGGCATGCATCATGGCACTTGCGAAGACATTGGCATCTTCTTTGCTGCCAAAATTCAGACCATACACCTGCCTAGCATCACGCCACTGGTGGAAAGTCTGTGTAGCCTGATTGTACTTCAGCCCTTTTGGAATGGCACAATTTATTACCACCTATAAGCATTAAAAAAAAAAAAAATTACTCGTGTTTAAAATTGCTGCTCCATCAGAAGTTTCAGCTTTGTGTAGATTTCATTCCTCCACCACGTGGGTTAATTCACGACCCATAATCTGTGAAACACAATGCTGAAAGCTCATAACCATTCCAGTTTTCATTCAAACACTGTCTGCAATCAGTGATGGGAATACACAAGGGGACTAATGAGATATTTTGTATCAACTTTTGTAGTTTAAGTGTTCTCACTTCAAAAGATGTAGCCATGTTTCACAACAGCAAATGCAGTAACATCAACAGCTCTGACTTCCAGCAGCAGACTACTTGATGTGAAATATGCATCTGAAATTCAGAAACTCATTTTCCCATGAATTTCACAGGGTGTTTGTTAGGTTTCTGTTTTAACCAAGTTATCACCTTCTCCCTGTGGCTGCTGCACCCCTTGGCTTGCAGGGCTTTCAGCAGCAGTTTACTGGATTTGGTCACAGGGTATCATTTTGCAAAATTGTTGTGGCACACACAAAAGATGAAAATTTGAGCTATTAGGGCAACCACTTACTACAAGCCATCCACTAAGAGGATCCCATTGTACCTGGATAACTATATCCTCTCACCTTTTTCTGCTGAATAATGGGACAAAAAAAACCCAGATTTGCTCTCAGATGAATGCACAGAGACCATTTATTACTTGGAGTAAATATTTAGTAACAAATCACACAGGAGATGACCAGTTTAGGCTTCAGGTGTGTAATCAATGACCAAAAACAAACCAAAAGAATTCTATGAAATGCTGGGGGGAAGGAAAACAAAGCTAAGAAGCTATCCTCAAACAAAATATTAGGTTTTAACCCCATCCCAAATATCACATGACAGAGCACATTTACAGTCAGTGCTAATTTGCCATTTAATCATGATCCAGTAACTTCATCAAGGAAATTAAGATGTAATCCCTGTTACTCCCTTCTCACTCTCTTAAAGTGGTACATGATCAGCATTACCAAATATCAGAAGGTTTTTTTGAACAAAATGACCTGGGGAAATGAGACATCACACATCCAAGTTTTCATGAGGTAGGAAGAGCTAAAAGAGCTGCTGGTGTCTACACAGGCTGCAGCTCACAGTGTAGAGTGGGGGAGAGAAGCTTTCAAGTTGCCACTTTGCCTTAAAAAGAACCAGATGACTTCTATGTACACCACTAGCCTGTATAAATAGATATCTGTAGGAAGGAATGGCAAAAGGACTATTGCCTTGGGGGTATGCAAAGTGCTTAGTTCACAGGGAAAAAGCAATAAAAATTCTGCTTCTTCAGTTAAAAAAATGCAATTTATTTTTTATTGGTCCTGTAATTTTGCTGAAGACTTCATATTCTAAATTTTCAGAGATTTCCTCACCTGATGATCCTGAATCTTCCTGCCCACTACTCTGAATGTGTTGTTGCCTGTGTGATGATATATGTGAACTCTGCTGAATCCAGTTGATCCACCAGCTGGTACCCATTTCTTATTGGCATCATCGTAGACCATTACAGCAGCTCGTGCTTGGCAGATACTCTGTTCACTGTTAATATACAAAGTGGAGAAGAAAATAAAATTACTTGTGGCAAAGCATCATCTTTCTGGTTAAGTTCTTTTTTTTTTATTTAAAATGTTAAAGCACTAGTCCTTGCAAGTTGCTGAAACTCCACCTTTCTGAATACAAAACCACCAGGACTTTGATATTTTGCTTATATCTGAAAAGCTATGGTCCAGACAGAGAGGCCTAACAACTAATAAAGGAGATAAGAAGGTACTCATATGTCTTCTTTTTGCATTTTTCCCCCTTACATTTCCCCCCCTCCTTTTACTCCCCACCAGCCATGAATTTTCATTAAATGCCATAACCATACACAAAGCTTTCTGCAAAGACCAAAGAATCTGGAGTTGCACTAGCTCCACACAATCTACACTTCCCAGTGGAAATTACTTTCATGAGAAATAAGAATTGGAAGGTCCGTGCACCTTTTCACATATAGAGAAGAAAACAAACACAGACAATCAAGTCCAGCACAAAAATTTCAGCTCATAAATGAAAACACATCTTGATTTTGTCACATTTTACAACAGCTGACACCCAGATGTAACACTTTCTCCCTAAGAAAAGGTTCTACTGATGACCAAAAAGTGCAAATTCATCAGGAGATTGCTATCAGTAGCTAATCCTGATTATGTCAGTCATCTGGAAGCTGGGCTACAGCCTGAAGTTAAAAAGGAGCATATCATGAATGTCATCATATAAGAAACACATTAAATCAGATCATACCAGAACCAGACTTATTTATTAGGAGAGGAAAGGGTGATACCATGCAGGTTGTCTCTGGGGGTAATATCCAGATGCAGACAGGAAACAAAAATAGAAATGAATGATTTCTTATCAGTAAGTCAGATTCTGTGAGCATACCACCCCAGCACATCCAACATTATAGAAAGCACATGATGCCTGGCTTGCAAGGAATGTGGCCTGCCATTTGGAAAACTGAGAAGGCTGAAGAGACATGCATCCTTCATTGGAAAGTAAAGGAGTATTTCTTCATATCTGATGAAAGAGGGAAAGGATGCCTCCCCCACGCATCTGTCTTGCAGATTTTTTGTGATTTTTATTGGTTGGTTGGTTTGGGAAGGGGTGTGTGTGTTTGTTGGGTTTTTATTTCCAAAGACCATTTGAATTTTCCAGTATCTTATTCACATCTCCTAATACATGAACTTTCTGAAGTACATCCAGCTGTTTTATTAACTTTCAATACCAACATTTTTGAGAAAACAGAACCAATTACTCTCACACATTCCATGGCATTCTAACTATTATAAAAGTGCTCAATACTGGGATGCTCTTTAGGGCTCATGGAGAAGACAGAATACTGAGATCATGTCTCTCATGCATATGGGAGATTCATGATCAAATGAGGAAATAGGTTCTTAATTTTAAAAATGCACGTGTTCTAAGCCCATCACCTATTCAACAACTAGATCAGAATGGGATTACAACCTCTAATTAGACCATCCTTTTTCTAGTTCAATTTAGGGATATTAAAATAATAATATATATAACTAAAGTGCTTCTTTTCTAAGCATAGTTTATAGTTTAGACTGGAAGCACAACATCTGAACCAGGAAGATTAAATGCAAAGAAAATAAACGTTGGTACAGCTTTTAAGCATTTCACAATCCAATTAAATATATACCACAGATGAAATATGGTTCACTCACTTAAGAGGACAGTGCAAGAACCTACTAGATTTCTTTATTTTTAGATATTTCTGGCACACATCTTAAAGTTCAAACCTAGAAACATTCTCTACTATTCACAAAATACATAACAAACAGTAGTGGTTTTTCTAAAATGTCTGACAGTAAACTTGGAAAACTTCTGAACCCATAATACATTTTTCCTATCTTTCAATTTGGATCAATCACAGGCATGATAAACCATAGGTGACAGGCCTAGATACTGATTTGGATGCAGAGCCATGTGGTTCACAGAGTTCTTGCTAAAAATTAACTTCTACTCAGTCATGTGCCAGACAGATTAATAAAAAAGATTCTATTAGAAATTGAGACTATGATTCTAAGCTAATATGTTCCAATTGCAACAAAGGTAGAACCAGAGAGTGACTGAGTAATGGTACAGCAGCAGGAGATTTAACAGGAAATACCATCAAATTTCAGGTGCTCTTATTCAGCCTAAAAGTTCATAAAACTTTTTACATTATTTTATTTAACATACAAAAAAAAAAAATTAATAAAGAAGAAAAACCTATTCATTTTAGGACTATTCAGTATTCAAGTGGCACTCTTCACAAGTGCAAATAAGATGACCTTGAACTGAATTTCTAGCTTTCCTTTAACAACTGCTAAACTATTTTTAGTTCCACTTCTCAGGCCATGTCTTATAACTGAAAGTATTAACCAAGTCTAGATCTCAACTACTTCATGTTCCATTTAAAATAAAACCATTTTCGTAACAGGGAATTAGTCTTCTTCATATAAAAATTTGAGATGATGCACAAACTTTTAAAAATTACAAATACAAAAATTTTCCAGCTGATTTTTTCAATCACTACAAAATAAACCTTCTGCCTTCATTTCATACAAATCCTGTAACTAAAATTTCAGTGTTCCAAGTGTGTAATTTTCATATCCAGGTATCAATTTGAAGGTGACATACTCCCCTTCTGCTAACAGTTCCTCCCCCCAACAGCACTTTGTTTATGAGACTGCAAGAGTAAGATGGAAAAATGAAAGACAAAAAAGACGCCTATCAGAAAGAAATTAAACCATCACAGCATACAAGGCTATTTCCAGGGTTCAATAAATATCAGGTGAAAAAATGATTTATTCTATTACTCTCTCTTAGTAATAAGTTCTCTAAAATGAACAAAAAAGGAAAAGTATGGAGGCATGAGCTTTAGTGAAAAGAATCTTTAGTTCTGCTCTTCAGTGGCCATTTGATATTTTAGTATCTGAATATAGTATATTGTATGTTATACTTAGACACCATAAAGTATTTAAAAATGAAAAAAGAAGCATACTAGAAATCCATTAACTTTAATGGGTTACACTAAATCAAAAATCCACACTGTGAGCTCATGGCTATCTCTGACAGGTCTAATGAAAAATACAGTTTAGTTTTTTTTCCTGAAGATCCACCTTTTTCTAGGAAAATTCTGACTTTAGCATACACACAGTTACAAGAACCTGAACCAGTCTCTTGTATTTTACAAATACATATGAACTTCAGTGCAAAAGAAAGAACCATGTGAATCAGAATTGTATAATTTATTGTATTTCTTGCTTTTCACGCTTATGACACTTCCCTGCTGTACTTGTATTAGGATTCAGTTCTTTACCCATCTCAGTATTTACACATGAGCTCTTCACAGTCCCCAGGGTTTGCTGCAACATGTGTGTCCCTTACATGACCTGTGTTAGGATGGCTTCCTTCATTCACTGCACCAGAATCACTTTGGTCTGATCACAAATTCATATTCTTTACGTATTACCTTGCACTGGTAGCAAATAAACAAATTGTCTACAGTCACATGCAAGAGAAAATAAAAGGGTCTTCATCTCTCTGCCATGTCATTAGGCCTTCAAAAGCATCCTACTGGGTTTTACTTGCCTATCTAAAAATTTTTATCTTCCTGGTGGGGTGCAATGGTTCCAGAAACCATTAGACTTGGATTAGCCTGCACCTTTTCAATATGCGAGTTGATCAGGGGATGTGGGAGATTGAGCATCTCCAGCTTCACATGCTACTGCCAAAATGCACAGCTGCTCCAAGAACTGATTGCTAGATTATTAGGGCAGTGCATTGGGGAACTACAGTGAAATATTAACAAAGAAAAACTGAGAAATCGTATGTTCCCAAGTAAACTTACTAAACTAAGTATATGAAATTATTTGCAGAAAACAGAAAATTATTACGAGGGAACATTCATGCAAAAGAGTGCTTACTAAACCTTAGGAGACAAAGTGTACAAATCACTCTTCCCAAAATGTAAAGCTTGACAAATAGCTGGATAAATATATGTTAGGAGGAGTTATTCTCCAGACAAAGATGTAAGGCTCTGATTGTTAAAGCCAGCCATTATTCTGGGTAAGTCCACCTACAGCAATACCATATAAAGCCAGCGACAGGGTGGCTGGTTTTTATTTGGGGTGGAAGAGTGGGGGGAGGTCTGGCACTCAAAAGGCTCACACAAAAAACCACAGTAGTAATGAATCATAAGATTATTCTTATGGGAGAATATACTTTTCCTCCTCCAGTGATGAGATCATACAAAAAGCTCAAAAACCATAGCAAAGTGAACCCTAGCAGACATCATTCTTTTGCCCAGATGGAATGTGTTCATTCTTTCACATCCCAAGTTCTTAAGCTCAATGCACAGTGACACCAATCCAGTCTGCTGACCTAAGCCCTATTTTTTTTCCCTTCTCCACAAGAAGTGGATGCTTCTTTTTCTTCTCTCAAGAACTAAAAAAGATAAATATACTTCAAGGATCAAACTCATGAAACACAGCACAATTGCAGCCACAGAAAAGATCATTTAAACATACTAACAAAGCAAGGAAAAGCTGTGATAGCTCTGATGCTCAACCTTTGGTATTTTTGTCAGTAATGTAACAATGAAGGTTTCGAAAAATTATATACCGTTACCACTGCTTCTGGTGATTCAGGTTGGATTTTTTTTTTTTTTCCTGCTAAGTTCTCAATTTACAGAGACATAACAACATGTTCTTAAAATGTGCAGTCTTTGCGGGGCAGAAGGAATGGAAAGAGACACTGATTCATCAAACGCCTGTTTAGGATTTTCAAACCATGTGGCACAAAGCTAGAAAGAAACTCTAAACATTTCCAATTCTCACATCTTAAAAATACACATTTTTGAAAAGCAGCTAAATGCTGGTCCACATATAAAATTCTGTATCTTAGTGGTGGCATTTTGCAAGGTAACTTTTCCTGCTTGTTCCTAAATGCCAACTGGCACAACAAAGTGAAAATATGTGCTCTCTATTTTGCTA